GGGCGTAAGACCGAATACGCCCTTTTACTTACCGAACAATGCCTCGTTTCTTGAAGTTTTTGCAGAATTTTCTTCGCACAGAGAAGAAAAATCACGGCACTTTTAAAGAATTGCCGTTGAGTAGTTTCCCGCCCTGGTAAAAATGGCAAGTGCTCATAGATCAGTATAGCACTTGCCTTTGGAACAGACCTAAACACTGATGTCAGTGCTGCTGGGCGCTGATATGCTACGTCAGTTTTAGGTCTGTTCCAAAGGCAAGTGCCTCTGATGTAAGTAGCACTGACCTAAGTGTCTCCGACATAAGGGAAAATACTGTAGAGGCAAACATTTAATTAATTACCGATCCGCCAGGTACGTTAATTCACTATTTGACGACCAGGGAGGGCTGTTGTGAGTTTTCAATCACAAGCAACGAGTCAGTTAAGCTCGGGAGGGATTCGCCTGCAAATAGTCGAATCTTTCAGTGTTCGGTACGAGAAGAATGATGCGCACGTTAAAATTTCACGAAAAATTGTCTCCGCGGAGATATGACGCTTCCTTTTTAGGGGTCCTCGAAAACGTGTTTGAACCGACCGCCGTGAATCTTCGAGTCTTCGTTATAGACGGGCAGATGGCGACGACAAAGCCAACCTGCTTACTACCGCCACGCCGCTGTTGTTGACATCACGATTTCTCGTTTGAGGTTGAGTAAGTTCTGTGTGAATGTTTCATATCCTACCATAGAGAACCCTACATACATCTGTATAGCATTCTGAATAAAAAGCTTAGAGAATTAAGAATAACTAGCTGCTTCAGCTCGCTGCGCTCGCTTGCGCCGCTAGCCGGTGGCCTCGCCCCCTGGACCCCCAGTCACTCGTTCCGCGAGTGAATGTTGGCTTGCTTCGCGAGCCAAATTTTGCTACTACGAGTAATTAGTGGACTTCCTGGAGGCAAAATGATAAATTCAAAAACAAAGAATAAGAAACTAATAATGATAACCACCTACTTGTAGAAAAAGAAACATCCTTGAATATTAAAAAACACTCATGGAAAAAAAAATCATAACACTTTGTGAAAATTTAACGGTGCGAAAGAGTGAAAATTAATTACCGATTCTCCTGGAAGAACACATGAGCTGCTGTAAAAAAGTTAATTATTAATAAAACCTGTGCTGCCGTAAAAAGTATTATCTTCTGAAAAATGCACATCAAAATTAAGTAATTTTCATATAAAAAAAAAACTAAAGACAAAACCAAGAAAGCAAAACTCTGGGCGCACCAATAAAAAACCTGGACAAACCGAGAACTGATTATGAGCAATGCGACGGAGGAAATGCGTAGCAGGTGGTCTGAGTGAGACGGCATAAGGAAGGGAGGGATACTGTCACAGGATCTATGCCAGAGTAGAAGGGTGACACGCGTTAACGGCAGGTAGGGATGGGTTTACGTGGAGAGGGAAACGTAAAATCAGAGGGTGGGAGGTCCCCCAACCATATGATTCGTCCAGCGGCAAAAACGCAAATATTTCGTCATCAAATCGAGCTAAATTTTGCAACATTGGTCGCGCAAATCGTAAAACCAAGGGGTGTCTGCACATTTACAGCCTAAGAGCTTTCATTTAAAACAAATCCGAGGAAAATCGATCCCGTAGTTTCCGAGATCGAATTAGGACAAACTGTCCAGCGGCAAAAACGCGAATATGTCGTTATCAAATCGAGGTAAATTTTGCAACATCGGTCGCGCAAATCGAAAAACCGAGGGGTGCTTGCACATCTACAGCCTAAGAGCTTTCATTTAAAACAAATCCGAGGAAAATCGGTCCAGTAGTTTCCGTGATCGAATTAGGACAAACTGTCCAAACTGAAGGAGGACAAAAAAAGCCTTAGGATATTAAATATACAGGGTTGTCCAAAAGTCACTGACCACCCCTGTAACTTTTTTTCAAATTGAGATAGAAGTTTGAAACTTTGGCAATGTTCCTCGGTCTAAAGTAGGAACTTTTTGGTCCCCCAAAAATTTTGGGGGGCGCCCCCCCCCCCCTAAGGGGGGGGCGGTGGCTAACTTTGTTTTTTCAAATGGCAACCCCCCCTTTGTGATACCTCATTCGAAAGATAACAGAAAAAGAAAATTTTTGGCGCAAACCGCAGGTCAAAATGTTGATTTTTGATAAAATGGCGGCCGGTCAAAGTTCAAAATGGCGGAAATCTGACATCTCCGTTGTTTATTGACGGATTGGCGTGAAACTCGGAATCTTAGGGTTTTTGGAGACAAGAAAAACGATTCTGGCATTGTTTTTTCAGAAAAGTCAGTCCTTTTCAAAATGGCGGCGGTCAAAATGGCAGTCTAGGGCGGGCAGTGGATATTTAGGCTGCTTATCGTTGGATTTGCATGTAACTTAGTATCCGGGGGTATTTCGGCACGAGAAGACCGAATCTTTCATTGGATTTCTGAAATTCCGAAAAATTTCAAAATGGCGGCGGAAAAATGGTGGGAAATCTGTTTTACGGCTGTTTACCGATGGATTTGCATGAAATTCGATAACGATTAATTACCATTTCGATAATCTACAATGAAAGATTCCTTTTTATTGAGCTAAAAACCACGAGGTTATCGAATTTCATTCAAATCCATCGGTAAACAGTCGTAAAACTGATTTCCCGCCATTTTGACCGCTGCCATTTTGAAAAGTACTGACATTTCTGAAAAACCAATGCCAGAGTCGTTTTTCTTGTCTCGAAAAACTCCAAGATATCGAGTTTCACGCCAATCCGTCAATAAACAACGGAGATGTCAGATTTCCGCCATTTTGAACTTTGACCGGCCGCCATTTTTTCAAAAATCAATATTTTGACCTGCGGTTTGCGGCAAAAATTTTCTTTTTTTATTATTCTTTGAATGAGGTATCACAAAGGGGGGGGGGGTTGCCATTTGAAAAAACAAAGTTAGCCACCGCCCCCCCAAAATTTTTGGGGGACCAGAAAGTTTCTACTTTAGACCGAGGAACATTGCCAAAGTTTCAAACTTCTACCTCAATTTGGAAAAAAAGTTACAGGGGTGGTCAGTGACTTTTGGATAACCCTGTATGTATGGATATGAATCTCAAACAAAGTAACCTACATATCCTCCGATTGACCAACAAAAACATACCGCCACCGCGACGCCTCACCGCCGTGTATTCTTCTACTACGCATTCCGCCGCCATATTGATCGTGACGTGTAGACTTGAAACCTACGAGCGCGCGGTTCAAACGCCGTTTTAGGCCATCCTAATTTTTGGCACTTTCAAATAAACTGTTCTCCCGTTTGCAGTCATCAAAAAAAATTAGGAAAACCACCGTAAGCTTTGGTCACTTACTACTTTCGAATGACACAATGAAAATAATGACTTATCTGGCTCATTACCTTAATCTTCAGTGGATAACGCTCGTTCCCATGCGGTCTCCAATCTAAGCACTAACTACGCCCGACGTAGCTTAACTTCGGTGATAGACCTAGCGATTGAACCACTACATTACGTGCGCGTGTAAGCGTCAAGGGCGTAATTATGCCATTTTAGGGCCCCCATTGGAGTAATTTTGCCAGCAAATGATGATTTTGTCTTTGAATCCTATACTTAATTTTATTATTATTATTTTTTAATCAATCAACATGTAAATGAAGTTTTATATGTTATGTTTCTTTGGAAAGAAATTGGAACGCATTAAAATTCAAAATTATAGCTAAGGATGTAAAACAAATAATTAAAGTTGAAATGATACAAAAAATATAAATTAGCAGATACAAAAATTGAAAGTAAAGGAGTAAAAAAGTTGGAAAAGAATTAAAAATAAATAAGGAAAATTTAAAAAAAATTAAGACTGAAACATTTTAAAAAGAGTTAAAACTGAAAAAAATTAAAACCAAATTTATAATAATTTTTTTTAAAAAAAAAACTCCTAAGTAAGTTAAAAAAAATAATAATGCTTAAATAAATACATCTGAATACATATTATAGCGGTGATAATATTTTTACCGATCTCATTTTTTTGTGTGTTTTAATTATTTTAGTGTCATCATAAACGAAGAAGGTAAAACAAATTACTCAAAAGTGTGGCTACCTAAACAAGTGTTTTTTTCCCTCTTAGAAAATCCCCCCCTCCCAAAAAAATATGCCTCTCTGTAAGATAAAGTTTGTGGTCCCTGTATCCCGAGGAAATATTCCCCCACAATAATGGAATAGGGTGGGGGAAGGGGGAGCCATCTCTACTTTTTGGGAGTGAGTGCGGTTCGATTAAGACTGATTTCAGAGACTTACCCTCTGAACCAAGTCCTGACCTCAGTCCCGCTTACTTCAGAGATATCTCTGCACTTAGGTAAAGTCTTTCTCCCGACGTCAGTGCCTCGTACCTCAGTGCTGACTTCTTGGGTAAGTGCTTTAACACTTACGTCAGAGAAAACTGAACTGACCTCAGAGCAAATTGAGCTGACCTCAGAGCAAATTGCACTGACCTCAGTGGAAAATTCACTGACCTAACACTTGCCATTTTTACTAGTGCATTTAAAAAATGTCTGCGCAAACCGAGTTATGTGATTGCCGACTTACACCGACGATATTACACATCAAGCAACGACTTTATGAAGGACCCTATGTCTGTATTGACAAAATGAGAATCAATTTTACACACATTTAGAGGACTTCTATTGACAGAATAATAATGATGATGGAAACGATCCACAAGACTTGATGTTAGGGAAGAGGCAAACTTCTAAAACACTTGTTGCACTCTTTCGATCTTAAAAATACCTACAGGTCATTGATGATGGAACACATATTAATAGTTTTTACCAAACTAAATCAGGTTTAAAAAGTAACAAGTGAACGAGCACTGAGGAGGAGCATTGCATACTCTTTCCCCAATTACAAACAAGTGCCTAACCAGAAGTCTTTGATACAACGTACTTACTTAGTATAAAAATTAAAATAATTCTTTTTGTAACCTATGTTTCGACTAAAAATATTTGTGTTTTTTTCTTGTGTTTCAGAGTTTGTGTCATGCAGGCAAACACTACATTTTCTCGTTTTTTTCGGTTTCATGGCAAATTACATGCTAAGAGTTAACTTGTCTCTAACTATTGTAGAAATGGTTGGGCACCATCCACAGAGGAACAGTAATTTGTCGGGCCTAGCTAATGAGACCAATGATGACACCCTCACCTCCAACTATACGTCAAATAAAGTGAGTAAATTGAAACCTAGAAAAGAGTACGGGTGCTAAAGACGCACATCCCCTCTGGCAGATTATTTTGGGGTATGTCAAATAGAGACATACCTAATTTTCAGAAATTTTGAAAGAAGAAGAAGAAGAAAAAAACTACCTCCATTTAAGAGAGGAGAAAATATTATTTCTTAAAGAATCACAAAAAATTACCCGTATGTGCATATGGTTTTTGTTCTACATGGTTTTCTTTTTCTTTAACACGTCTATTTGGCAATTCTTGTGTCTTTTTCCCGGAAATGAAAATTGAATCATGGGCTAAAAAGTAAGTCTTTTTTCAAGTAAGTCCTCTTAAGGGAACAGTAGTTTTCCTACAAGCTCAAGATAGCAGCCGGTTAGTTAGGTAAGTATTAAGTCAATTAGGTATGTACAATGCAGAAAATCAGGAGTTACCCTAGTAGCACAAAGACGTAAAATTTACCAAAAAAAAATTCGTAAAAAAAGACCTAAAATAGACCAAAAATGAAATGCCAATGTAGTCTTTTTTACAAGAATAATTCGTAAAGAGTACAAGATTTTTTACGTAAAAAGATCGAGTTTCTTTACGTAAAAAGTTATGCGCAAAAAAACTCTTGCTTCCTAAAATTGATTAAAATGATAAATCGTAAAGAAAAAAATAGACTTTTTACCTATCTGAATCTGTAGTCAATTAATTCTCCTTGAGATCAACATTTAAATCATTATCTACCTGTTGGGAATTGAACCTGGGACCTGCCTATCAGGAATCAAATGCGCTACCTACTGAGCAAACAAGGCTTCTGTATTAGAGGGGCGAATTTGCACTGTATAAGTGAATATTTTTATTGTTGAATATGTGTGAGAACGAATTGAGGAATATTTTTTGAATTTGGAAAAACTGAATAGGGCAAAAACTAATATTTATCATGGATGTTTTAAAGATAGTATACCTACTTCCAAAAGTACCTTTGTTGCTCAGGAATATGTGAAAAAAATTATGTACATTTTAATAATATGTCCCCCTTTTTTCTTTTTCTTTTCTTAAATATTATTAACATGCATCAATTTTTTATAAGAATGTCTTAACTATTTTAATAAAGATAAGTTATTAAAATCTTCTCGAACTTTTAAAAACTCTGGCTTATTTGTTCAGAACAATGTGTTTTTGTATCCAGTTTTTGGGCTATACTTTTTTTTACAAACAATCTTTAGGAGACATCAGAATTTTTTGCTTAATTTCCTTGTCACAAAAACTACAAAGGTATTTCCTGTTCGGTCAATTCAGCGAATTTCCATTCTGACAATTTTTTTCTGATTTTCTACATGTAAAAAATCGCGAATTTTTAGTGTATTTTCCGAAGAAAATACACTATTGCATTCTCCCATGATGTCGGACCCACACCCGAGACCTTGTGAAGAGCACCGATCACGGGTCGTAGATCACGAAAATATATGCCATTCAAATTCATGTGTATATATACAGGGTGGGCCAGAAGTTCCAGGACGGTCGGCTAACTTTTGAACGGTTCGAGATAGAAAAATGAAACTTTGGGAATGTTCCTAACTCAATGGGGACCATCTTATAGGGGTGTCAAAATTTTGGTCCCCCCTAAGGGAGGGGGCGGGGGGACCCCAACTTTTTTTTTCAAATAGCAACCCCTATCTTGTGATACCTCATTCAAAAGACCATAAAAAACTAAGAATTTTGGCGCAAATCGCAGATCAATATCTTAATTTTTGACCGAGTTATGATAGGGTCAAAGGTCAAATTTGACCTATTTTCAAAAAATCACAACTCCGATTCAAATTATTGTAAAGAAAATAATAAAACGGGAAAATTTACTAAATTGTGTTCGCTTTTTTGTAAAAATTGCAGAAATCACTTCGAACTAATTTTAAGGGGGGGTTCGGACCCCCAAATACGTCAATTCAAAGGTCATTCAATTTTCCCGCGAAATAAGCCAATTTCCCCTTGATTTGCCTCCTCATTATCTCAGTACGGTCAAAATCAGTTCAACATTACGTTGGGCAAGTCCCCAAATTTCAGGAAAAGTTAAAAAAAACCCAATTTAAACGGTCAAATTGAATTACCCTCAATTGCATTTTTTTTAACTTTTCCTGAAATTTGAGGACTTGCCCAACGTAATGTTGAACTGATTTTGACCTTACTGAAATAATGTGGAGGCAAATCTAGGGGAAATTGGCTTATTTCGCGGGTTGAATGACCTTTGAATTGACGTTTTTGGGGGTCCGAACCCCCCTTAAAATTAGTTCGAAGTGATTTCTGCAATTTTTACAAAAAAGCGAACACAATTTAGTAAATTTTCCTGTTTTATTTTTTTCTTTACGATAATTTGAACCGGAGTTGTGATTTTTTGAAAATAGGTCAAATTTGACCTTTGACCCTATCATAACTCGGTCAAAAATTAAGATATTGATCTGCGATTTGCGCCAAAATTCATAGTTTTTTATGGTCTTTCCAATGAGGTATCACAAGATAGGGGTTGCTATTTGAAAAAAAAAAATTGGGGGCCCCCCGCCCCCTCCCTTAGGGGGGACCAAAATTTTGACACCCCTTTAAGATGGTCCCCTTTGAGTTAGGAACATTCCCAAAGTTTCATTTTTCTATCTCGAACCGTTCAAAAGTTAGCTGACCGTCCTGGAACTTCTGGCCCACCCTGTATACCATCCTCATTGTGGCATGAGCCCTGTCATGTATGTATTCTTATGGGTCTTAGATCGCAGGTCTCACTGGAGATAGCTCTGTTCAATTTAAATACGTCGTGAAAAATTTGCTGAGATACAGCTACCTTTAGAGGATGATGGTTACAGTAATGTCTGGTTCGATTTTCCGAATATTTCTCTGCGAAAAAAAAAAACTTTCAAATGAAATCGTAAAATGAAAAAAACGTTTGGATAGATCCAACAATGAAATAATTGTACCCGATGAAAATAAGTCTTATTGAAATGCATTGCCCAGGATATTGATGAAATTCTTCATGAATCAGTTGCCAGAAGATGTTAAGTCCGCCAGACCTGTTCATTTTATAAAATTGATTTCAATCAGTTTGAAATGTTCATTTCAAGTGTGTTAAAAACTCACATTTCAGTTCCTACTTTAATTTGTTTAAAAACAAACCATCGCTTTATTTTTGATACAGCCATTGTACTTGTAGTTGTAAAAGCAAATATGACAGAATCTCAATTTTGCATCGTTCATTGTGTCATCCTGGCATTTATACTTATTTCTATTTACAAATGTACTGACATCCCTTTTTCTTTTGTTGCAGGGTGCTAAAAAATTATGTCCTCAGTGTAATACTATCACATCTCCATCGGATCTGAGGCGGATATTTTTGTGATGGCAAGATTTCAGATTGAACTGATGAAAGGGACATCAATTCAACTGTGATTTTTATGTTAGGTCTAGGTACTTTTAATCAATTATGTTAAAAGAAACTTTTATCGTCGTTTCAGTGAAACGTTACTTTTTCTTTTGCCATTTGTTTTCATTTCAGCAAAAATAGATTTGTTCGTAAATGTTTCAGTTAAAAAAAAAAATCATTATACAGGTAAAATAAATTGTTCTGTGATGAATACAACTGGTAACATTAATTTCAGCTCCCATTAACCCTTCGTTAGAGATGACTCATCTGAACTGACTTATTGAGAGATTTACGGCTCTTTAGTAATGGAACTTTGCAACTTAGACACTACAGCATTCGATAACAGGAAGATGATGAATTATTGCTTAACTTTAGCCAACTCACAATCGGATTTGATTCGAGGTGATTACCAAAACTCCACAGGTTTCAGTAATTTTCCCGCTCAATTTTTAGAGGGGTTCTGTCCTTGCTTACAAAATTTCCCAAAACAATTTGTTTTATCCCAGATCTAACAAAACTACAAAATAAGACTCTTCCAAAATTGATAAACCTTACAAATGATTTATTCAGGCTCGAAAAAGAAAAATTCTAGTATTTTTAAGTACTACTTCTTCAATACACAACTGCATGGACAGTGAATTTTCCTTTTTTTTAAAAGAATAATGAAAAAATTATTCTGAAAACATTACATTGGCTCATCTTGACGACACTCTCAAAGTATGCCTGGATGACCGCCCAAAACCGGCGCTTTTGTCAGGGCTGGCTCTCATCCCCAGAGGACAAATGAAAGTGCTTCATGTTTTATAGTTCCACACAGCTGCACAGTGCGGACTCCCATGGACAAAAATTGAAAGGTGACTTTCAAATTTACCAAATATTGTTATGATATTTGAATCAGTGAGTTCAAGAACACACCAACTCGGGTTTTTTTCGATTTTCACTTTTTTACGGTTTAGTAACACTTATGGATGGATGCATCTGCATGCAAAAGGAAATTTCGAAATTGCAAAAGTGCTCAAAACAGCGACAGGAAAAGGGAAAAATCGAAGTATTTCATTGGAAATACCAATTTTTGGCCATTTCAAGGGAAACGGGTGACCATCCTATTTTGCAATTTTCTTTTTTCAGTTCAGTATACCTTGTGCCAACAAGTTATACGAATATTCAAGCGTTATTCAGGTCGAAAAATATAAATTTTTCAGGGCAGACTATGAAAAATCAGTATCAAAGTCGGTGAGAACGAAAACACACCAACTCGGCAATTTTTAAACGCTTAATTCTCTGTCATCAAACATGGTGTATCGATTTCAACTTGGTGCTTTACAAAGTCTCTAAGTACTTGTCCTTTGACACCAAAAAGGTTTTTCTTAAACTTACTTCTTCCCCCGCTGCGCAGTTTTCGGTGTTTCCTGAACAATTTTTTTTTTCCGAGTTGGTGTGTTTTCGAACTCACTGATTCATTTATGATCAGAACAATTTCTTTCTTAAAAAGGTATATTTTTGTTTATTTTCCTCCAAGAACCCGTTTAGTCATGGGCTTGAAGTTTAGATAAATTCGATCAAAAAGGAACTGTCACAAAAAATACACAGTATTTAAGTTGACAACTTTAAATAAACTTTACTTGACAACTAGGGATATCCCTCTGGGTGGTTAACATTTTCTCATTCTTTGGACACCCAACTTCAATCCTGCAAAATAATTTTTTCAGGAATTGGAGATATTTTCATTTAAAGATTGGTTGAATCAGGTTAAACTCAGCACTTTTAGTCGCAATATTGAGTCTCATAACGCCTAAATACATGTATTTAGGGCATAGGTACTTCTGATCTGCTGTGCAAGCTCTTGGATGCTGGAAAAGTTGAAAGTCGTTAAATAGTGGGGCTCAATTGAATATCTCATGCGCTTCACGGTTCCGTATGTCTATTTTTACGGTGCCTTTGATTTACATCCACACCGCGTATGGAAGTTCCGCACTTTGTACTGTTTAATAGGTTTAACACATAATTTTTGAAGTAAAATCTACATATAAGATTAACAGAATAAATAAAGGAACTTTGATGCTCATCATTAAGTTATGTTATATGCATTAATATATGTAAGTAATATAAATTATGAGCATCAAGGTTCCTTTGTTTATCGTGTTAATCTAACACATAATTTGATCAATTTTCATCAATTTTACTTGTACTATAGGGTGTAATACATTAATAGTAAAACAAACAGGGCCTATGCCCTGGTCAAAAGGAAAAGAAGAGGCATGAACTCAGTGGACAATATTTCTTAGCTCATCAGCAGATTACATAATGCTTCGAATTTCAGTTTTTTAACAAAAATTTTGCAGGAGATGACTTTCCCACTTGTTTTTTAGGAGAGTGTTTGTCCTTGCTTAGAAACTTTCAAATGGGTAACGTCAAGTCAGAATTCCAGTATATTACAGTACACGGAGGAGAAAATCAAGTATTCTCGACATTCAGTGCTGACTATCTAAAATTAAATTCTCTTGGACCAAGAATAAATTTCAGATGAATGTTCAGATGTTCAGACAGATGTATTAGAATGTGTAGATAAATGATGATGATGATGCTATAAAGACACTAAACTAAAAAAATTCAAGGGAAAATTTTACAGGGTAAAAGTTGTAAAAGAATGAAGAATAGAACGTTTTTTTTCAAAACAATCACTTTATTTTCAGTGAATCCATTAACTAGGTTATCTTACAGAAAAATTTTGAGATGCATCAAAAACCCTAAACACAATGCGCCTCACTTGAGAGACTGATGGTCAACTTACAAAACGAGAATAAACTATCAAACGATTTTGACTAACCCACAGCAATTTTAATCATTGGGTATCAAAAGAGAACCTCTTGTTCAACCGTGAAAACTGAAATACCCGGTGAGAAGTTCATAGAATCTAACTTAGAAATTCAAGACGAGAGAGAGAACGAGGGTCGTATTCATAGTCTATCTTTAAAAAGCTCCTTTTCTTACGGAAACCCAGTATGGTTTTTAGTGTGATTAATGAGGCTTTTGAAATAGCATCAATAGAGGGACGATTTTAACAGGCCTTGATTAAAATTCAAATGAGTAACTTTGAAAATAGATCCTTACAGGGGATTACAAAGATTTAACACTATAAAAAATACAAAGCATAAAATAAAAAAAATTGAAAAACTATAAGGTAGGTACAAACCTATCTTAAAATTTTTAAAAGTAGCAATATATTCCATGAGGGGATAGTGGCAAGGCGTCCACCAAGAAACTTAACGATATCAGTTGCCCAATAACTTTTGGAGAGACAGGCACATGAGGCACTGAAGGAGCGACATATATGTATGTATGCAATATTTCCTCTTTTGAAGTTTAAATTTTTTGCAGTGGCAAATCATTGTAATCCCTCGCAAGGACCCATTTCGAAATTTGCACAGTTGAATTTTACCCGAAGTTTGTAGAAAATGTCCTTTTTATGATGCTATATTAGAGGTTTCCTTCATCATAATGTGAACTAGAAAGCGCCTTCCATAGGAAAGGAATTATTGAAGGTAAGACTATGAATATGACCCTAGTGCCTCACAATCTTAAGGCATTGATTAAATCAAGAATAAACCAATCACACTTAATATCATTAAAACAAGATTCTCATTCAACTACAAACTTCAAGTTGCTGGTTGTAGTTGTGTACCTTTCACTTGAGATCTTAACACCTATCTCTTACATTTCTAAGTTTGAAGAGCTCTTGATAATGCTCACCTTTGTCATCTTTACCACCATAAGAAGGAAGAGCGCTACAGAACTGACACAATAAAATTGACATGATTGAATCTGAAGTCTAGTACGGCTCTGCCTACCTACGCTAATTCGATACATTTATCGAGGTACATTAAATTTTCCAAATTTTGAATATCTTAAATTTTTCCTGTTGTAACATCGAGATGGAGAAGAGAAAACTCGGCTTTAAAACAGTTCAAGCAGCCAAAGTTATATTTTCAGCCTGCGATTACCGTCTAGAGTCAAAATCTTGTGAGTTTTATTTTCTTTCAGGAAAACTAATTAAATTGTTTCTCTTTAAAATAGGATGATTTTTATAAAATGAGTAACAAAAATTCACAGATAATTTCAAAAAGAACTGTTGAGTAGTTTTCCTGTAAAAAATAAAACATATGTGAAGACTTATGACATTGAAATCTGAGAAAGACATATTTGGACTTCCATCATTGATGAGTGAATTCCTTGGGCTTTCTCCGATACTGATACTCTTCATTTAAAGGAAAAAAAAAATCTACCTAAAAAGGAAATTGTATGTAAATCAAATTCTTTTGTCTTGTAAATGCGTCCTGTTAGTTCAGTGCTCGCTCTACCTTTCCACAACTGAAATGCAACTTTTCTGATGATAACATTGGATAGAGTATTTAATAAAATGAGCTTCTTTGACTTGCACAGCACAGTTCTCTGGCTAAGCTTTGTAAATTATGGTTTGGCGATTATGTTCATGAGGATATCTCTCTGTAACCCAGGGTTTCTCTAGAATTTTCTTCTCTGTCTCCTTCAGCTTATGGTGGGGACGAAAGGTCCCTGCTTGATTTTTTTAGTAGAACTGTTTCGTTGGATCTTTCGCACTTGCCCATGGACTAACATTTGATAAGTAATCAAAAGAATGAAAGATTCGGAGAACCATCATAATTAAAACATTATCTTTCTTTCTTGACTTAATTGTATGATGTTCTGGAAAATGATTAGAATTGCCATACAATATCGTGTCTCTGATATTAAAGTAATTATGATGAGTGAAACTGATCCTCTTTAAATTCTTAAAGAAATCGTATTACTGAATTCAAGTTCTTGTGCAAGACACAACTTTGAATACATCCAGTCCAGCGACTATTTTATTGTATGTTTCAACAACTCAGATTTTACAATTTTTGATTGGGCCACTAGGCAAGGTCTAGCCTAGAATGAAAGTCACATGTTTCCTCTTCAAAATCTTATGTTAAAAAACAATTTATATGACAGGAACTTTGGAAAACGACTCCTGAACAAAATTTTGAAAAAATCTTTCGTATGGATCAAACTTCAGTTGAATGATACGAATGATGTTATTTGCATTTTTGCCATTTGACCAATGTTAGTGGTGAACACTTATACCTTGTTCAGGAGTTGATTTCCAGGCATTCCGATGAGCGATTCCTTTTCTTCTTGAAATTTTAAAAAGGAAACATGTCAAGTACTGCTTTAATTGATACCCTGTCTAGAGGCCCATTGAGGGGGATTCTGGCTGGGCCTATAATAATTCAGGTGTGCTCACTTCTCGAGCCGGGGGCTATCTGCGCAAACAGCAGCATAACTATGATCAGTGCTCTAGGTTAGATATTTGTCTAGATGAAACAGAGTGACGAGACGAATTTTCCCATGTTTTATGGGCCTTTCTGGGAACTTCCTTAATTATTTCTCTCCTGGCAGCTGGTGGAAAAGGACAGTCCTAACAACAATATTCCATCTGTGTTATTTCTATTCACTGTCTTTTTTAAAATAGTAAAACGTCTATTACTCAGTAAAAAACCAAAAAACAAGGATGTCGAGTAGACACTAGGTGATCTGACCGTAACGATAACAAAAAGAAATATTTCTTCTTTAAATGTATGAATTAATTTGCGAGCAGACTCAAAAGTAAAACTGAGGGAAAAAGAGAGGGGTAAACTAAACGTCTTGAATGACAAGAGAATAAACCTTTCTCAAAATACTACTGAATTCTTGGATCTCTTGTTCACTGAAAGTAAAAAACCAATTTCCTGCGATTTATACACAAAGAAGCTAGAAAAATATAGCGGTGAGGTCAATTTTCACCGATGAAAAAAACAACAAAAATGTTTCGACAGTAAACTCATGCAAAACTGTGAAGTTAGCTTGTGTGGGTCCCATTGCCAAACATGCAGGCACTTACACCACGACTGGACAGAAATTACGCTGATAAAAGTGTCTGTTTTCAGAAAATTTCCAAAATGTATCCATAAATGTTAGAATCTGACGCAAAAATTAATTCAGAACAAAAAATGATTATGAAAAATTGAAAAGAAAATGGAAAATGACCGTTGAAACATAGCTGGAGAATGAGCAGGGCTGACAGAAAAATCTACAAAAGCTATGTAAAATTGCAAGAGAGAGCTCTGAAAATAGATCCTGAAATTGACGGAAAGTTGGAAGACGGTTGGTGACCACTGAATCTATTCAAAGAAGAAGCACACTAAATGACCTACAACCAATAGATTTGCATTTGGACAAGTTCAAACACAATTTATAATGATGAAAGAAGTTGTTCAGGATGGGGAAGAATTGCCTGAGGACATTCTACTTAACCAAAACTGATATTGCAAACTTCACCCGCAGAGTTAAAAAACTTTGATTTGACAACCCAAATAATATTGTAGTTGTATCTCGTATTTGCTTGATACTTATAGACTCGAGGGTGTGAAGAATTTTTAGGAGAAATTATTCAAAGAAAACTTATTCTGCCAACACAGTACAGTTAGTTTTACACCTTCATCGAGCTCAGTTGAAACTGTTTTGGGGAGGCAGAGTGAGCTATTCTCTAACCACACATGAGTTTAACTGAAGTACATCAAAGTAGTTTAACACAAGTTTACCCCTGTTGACAAAGTGCAAAGAAACATCGGTTTGTAATAATAAAAATTTACAACTTTGACGACTGATAACAAAAGTTATCAGTTGTAACAAGTGCACAAGTCAATACTTCTGTAAAATAAAGGGACAAAATCACTGATAGGCGGAATCACATTGGATTACCATTGATAAGCTTCATTGATTCTCCTCTTCACTGTCGCGATTCGAAAATGTTAAAAACTCTCAAATTTGAATATTACGGTATTCAAAGTTCTCTTCAGGGTCAGTGCATTTGAAAGATTTAAAATCGCAAAAACATTAAAATAACACGGAATGTCTTTCTATGCAGGAGTCTTTAAATGCTTTCCTTGATATAAAGAACGCTTTTAAGATGCCAAAAATGTTGGATATCATTCATATTCTTAGGCTGTGACAGTTTTTCTTTGATGGTTCATTTTTTTATGATGCTAACAAAGCATTAGCAGTTTAATGATCATTCATACAAACTGTGCGGCTATGGTCATAAAAATTATAGATCAAACTAATCCCTGCTTAACTAATTTTCTTCATAATAATCTAAATAGAAGAAGAAATAGAGGTATGTTACAGCTACATTCAAACCAGTGACGTGGCGTGCTTTATGGTGATTTATCTACCATTTCAACTTACAGAAGAGAATCAATTACTAAGGTGTTCACAATGAGCACCCCACTAATCGATTCTCTACCATAGCTCCAAATGGAAAATTCTTGATAGACAATGATTCACACTTTGCCACTGATTCAAACCATGAAAACACTAGCATAGACCTACGATTGACAGTAGAATGTAAGGAGTTCTCATATAGTGTGCAAAGTACATTTATGAGAAAATTCCCCTAGACCAGTGAAGAATTTTTCATCCATACATTAATGTAAATTTTAATGTGATGCCTCAGACACTAGTTTCGGACTTCGGGACTCTTGTAGTTATATTTTTTTAAAATAATTATGCGTTTATTTTCAAACTCAAATTTTTTCCCTCTTCCGCACTGCTCTAAGGAAACACTTGATAAATTGAATAAAAAGGTGGTCTTACAGTCCCATCCATAACTCATACAAATGCAGTAAATATACCGATGTATGTCTCGTGTATGTCTCTCGAGACATACACGAAGATCATTAAAATGCTATTCAAGTTTGTAAGATCGAAAAAAGAAGGTAAATCAAACCCTTTTATTTTCCAGAAATGACCAATGACTTGATCATACATTCAATTTTTCTGTGCTGGAGGCTCTGCCAAAAAAATGAAACTTTCACTGAATTTCTGGCAAGCAAACGGAAACAACATTGGATTCAAATAAAATAAAATAAAATAAAAAAAACCTTGGCTCTGATTTGTGGAAAAATTTTGTGAGTAGGCATTGGACGGTGCCAAATATTCAACCAAAAAAACCTGTTGACTGCTTGAGTCTGCAACTTATTTCAAAAATTATTCTATTTCCTTAAAGAATCCCTTCCTTGAACACAAATCACTGTGTAATGGTGGGCAGATGGCAAAGGGCGCAAATTTTGAAAATTCAGATTTTAAAAAACAGAGAGCCCCATTCAAGGTGTATTCTTTTTCAATGAATCATGCGGGCTCTGGTTTGAGATACGTGGATTCTTAATCAAGATTGGCTATTTACAGCTCGGAGATATTAAAGAAACTATACAATCTAAATAAGAAAATTTTGATGTTAAACTTTTCGATATTTACACGTGAATAAAAATAAATAAACAATTAGATTTAAAAGATATCACATTCCGATGTACGCCTCTTAACGCTAATACCTAAATGACTTTTTATGACTCCCGCCAAGATCAGGGACTCCTTTTCTTGAGGAGTTCCTCTTCCCTATGGTTCATTGCAAGGAAATATATCATAATAATGGTTTACAAAGTTGCGAAATAAAAAAAAGCCTGGCCCCTCGCAAATATAAATGGGTGGGTTAAGTAAGACTGGCTTACCTATTTTTTCTTTCATAATGTGTTGATAGTCATTTTAAACTTCAAACTACTATCAATACATCAAGGAAGAAAACATACATAAGTCAATCTCAAACTAAGCAACCTGATAAGATTAATTCCACCGAGGTCATTAAGTAGTTGAGATAGTCACATTGATTCCTAGGTTGCCGTTTTCTGCAAACAATTGAGCGATGTTTGTGTCAAAAACCAAGCAGTCTGAGTTCACGATTGCTGAAGAGACTCCTTCGTGAATGCTGCGCGGAGTGGCTTCCCACGACAAACGCCTGCGTCTGCTGTTCAATTCTAACCTGTTGATCAAAAAAATATGTGTTCATTCCTGTGGAATCTTTTTACCTCTTCATACGCAAACAGTTCAGTTGAAATTCAGAAAATATAACTAAAATATTCGCAAACAAAACGAAACAAGAGGAATGATTAAAATAGGGGTAAATGATAGGTATTGGCTGAGATGATAATCGGCTTCATTAAATTTGCCTGTTTATAAATTTCTTTTAAAACTGATGGGTTCAATCCATTTTCGACTCTAATTAAAACATACACTGGACATTTGCGTTTTTTAGAATTTTTCAATTCAAAGTCACCTTTTTAATCACAAAGTCTAGTAAATGAATCCAACATTAATCAGGGTAAAATGCAGGATATTTTGTTTGTTTTGGAACACTTTTTCATGCCTCATACAAGAGGTGAAATGTGAAGTAACCGGACACATTACAAGGCTGCTACGAAATTTACACAATAAAATTCCTTGACACATCTCCGTAAAAATCCCTGGCAAGATACACCACATGGATGGAAAAGATATAATTTGAGATAGTTTTAAGGCAAAATTTGTTATTCGAAACATCAAACCCATTCTATGAGGCAAAAGACATGTAACAATTATTCCCCGGCACTTTCGTTATTTTCCTTGAAATTTTCAGGTTTTCTCTGACCTGTCAATCCTGGCATCATTATCAGACTTAGAAGAAAAAGGTATTTTCTTTAAGCAACAATCATTGAAGAATGAATAATTTTTGAATGAGAAGAGGATCTTGTTCTTTGAGCACAACTAACTACCCTTGAGAGTTGGCTCCATCGAAAAGAAGAAATGATAAAATTTAAGCTATACATTACCAGTATTGGTCACATTAGCCTGATGTGATATACAGTCCATGCACTGATAATGGCCACAGGTCAAATTGACCATAAAGAACATCAATAACAACACACGATGGCAATAGTGGCCTTGAAGATAGGGGTATTTTCAGACGACATATTTGCTTTATGGGCGTTATGATTGAGAGCTCAAAATAAGCAACTTTAAAATCGTTATTCGCCGGTTAATTTCATACAAAAATTCAAGTTAAATTCCCAGGAACTAATTGCACTGTCTTACTTTTTAAAAATGTAAAAATTTGAAATTACTGCACATACTTAATCGTTCAAGGACCATCCTGAACGCCTTTCATTCAAGACTGCTCATCTCAGTTGTACTAACTAGGGATGGGAAACCGGACGGCCCCGATATGATTATTTTCAGAAAGTTATAGAGAAGTGATTTAGGGTTCTCATCATACATCGAGTGTTTTTTAAACCACTTGTTAGGTAAAGTTGAGGAAGATCTTTCTATTAACAGTCAAAAGATCAAATTACCTGTATGCGAAACCTTCTGCTTCCTTCCTTGACCCAATAAGTTGAACAATAGCGAAGAATTGGTGATGACCATCGTACTTTTGTTGTTTCTCTAGAATGAGCATGAAGTTATGATTGAAGCAAGATTGCATCATGACCCAATCAACAGCTCCCGGTACATTGATGTCTGTGGCAAGAAAGACAATATCCTCACCTGAAGAGAGAGGGAAAAGAGAAAATGAAAAGACACATTCTTCATCTGAAATACGTTTGAATTAGAGCCCACCACTACGGTAGCGTCAGGTAAAGGGTTATAAAAAGGCTCAACTTCAACAAGCCACAGACAAATTATAAAAAGACAAGTGGCCAAAAACAGGTTAAACAGTGTTTTCCCTGCAGTATTTGCGGAAAATTACTCTCTACTAAAACGCATCTGTCGCAGAGGCGCAACTCAACCACCCTGCCGAGATCAAGGTTGCTGACAACTTAAAAAAGATACCTTTGACTTGTGAAAATCTGTCCATCTTCGCTATTTCACAGTACTATTTTACAAAGTATTGGGCATACCTACTGTTCTTAAAATGGATAAACTTTTCAAAGGCATACTTCACGGCACTTCATGAAAATTTTTGACCGCTTCATGTAATCAGATGAATAGTAATTCTTTGACTTTGAAACACCTGTCATAAAAATTTGTTGATCAAAGTATTTACCTAAGAAATCAACATGCGCTATTGGCTGTGAATAGCTATTTAAAACTGCAAAAAGATGACAGACAGCTTTTAGCTTTGACTCTTTTGCCAAGTAAATCTTTTCACTGATACTTTTTCTTTTAAATTCCTGAGTTAACATATTCCCTATATTTTCCCCTATATTTCAAAATCCATATATTTTCCCTCTGAATTCAATTCCCTGTGCTTTCCCTCAAAATTCAATTCCCTAGATTTTCCCAATCTCCCCCCCCCCCCCCCCCNCATTGAAACCCTGTACATGGTGCTTAGCAGCATTCAGCTACAAAGTATCCACATTTACTCACAAGACAGGGGATGGGGGACATAGTAACACACTAGTGATAAAAAATTAGTGGTCAGACAGTAAAATACCTAACACATACAAAAATTCAAGTGAAAACTGCATAACATGTTTCACTCGGAAGCTCCTTGTATCAGAAAATTTAGCTGCTCTGGATGCGTTCCAGTATGAGCAAGTTTTACTTTACTTACATAGGGTGTTCAAAAAGTTTTGCACCCTTCCGGATTTTGAGCGAACAAAAGCAGCTATTGATTTGAAGTTTATGTGTACTTAAAGTAGACGTAATTACCAATAAAACAAGACCAAAAACAACTCTCAAGCTTAAAAAATGACAGAGATACAGGGTTTTGAAAATGACATGTAGCATGACCGCCTCCAGGATTTTTAGCTACAAATATGTTTATCAAGGGAAAAAAGTTAAATGAGAATTGAGTGTTTTTATTGAAAAAACTTACAAAATCTTACGGAAATTGACGAACTTCAAGTTTCTTCATCGGATGACACGGATGAGTCAACATTCGGCTGTTTTTCGAAGTATTTTCCACCACTTTGAACACAAAACTTCAGCTGCTCTGTCCAGTTAAATTCACAAAAATCGTCTTTTCGAAGTCCTCTTGACGGAGGGTTTTGAAGCATTTTTGGACAGCGGTTTTGATCTAGGCTTTGGAATGGCTCTTTCCTGAGATAAAGAAATTTCTGAGAGGCACACGGTTTGATTCCATAGCCTAGATCAAAATCCCTGTTTGAAAATGCTTCAAAATCCTCCGTCAAGAAGACTTCAAAAAGGCGATCCTTGTGAATTGGACAGAGCGGCTGAAGCTTTGTGTTCAAAGTGGTGGAAAATACTTTGATAAACAGCCGAATGTTGAGTCATCCGTGTCATCCGATGAAGAAACTGGAAGTTCGTCAATTTCCGTAAGATTTTGTAAGTTTTTTCAATAAAAACACTCAATTCTCATTTAACTTTTTTTCCCTTGATAAACATATTTGTAGCTAAAAATCCTGGAGGCGGTCACGCTACTTGTCATTTTCAAAACCCTGTATCTCTGTCATTTTTTCAGCTAGAGAGTTGTTCTTGGTCTTGTTTTATTGGTAATTACGTCTTCTTTAAGCATACATAAACCGCAAATCGATAGCTGCTTTTGTTCGCTCAAAATCCGGAAGTGTGCAAAACTTTTTGAACACCCTATGTAGTAACAAAAGAGGAGAGGAAAAAAAGGATTGCCTTTGGCAAAAAGGAACCAAGAGCATTCCGATGTTGCTGGGGATTGTGCAACCCCCGTTCTTTGCAATCAAATTACTGTAGTCATGCAAAAATTTTTTACCAAGGTAATTTTCGTCTTGAATTTTTAGTTTATTGGAAGTAAGTACAGATAAAACTTGTAAAGATGATCAGCTAATAATTGTAAAGTAAAAAAAGTTGCATAATCTTAGCGACATTGGAATGCTCTTGGTTTCTTTTTGCAAAAGACAATCTAGGCGTAGTCCACCTCAAGTTAATTGTCATGCCTTCACATGTTTTCGATGGTTGGTTTCATTTTGGTTTGTTCGAAAAGTTAAAATTTACTGATTCTGATAATAAAAACTGTGAATGTGAAACAATTAAAAAGGAAAAAGAAAAACTGTAAAAAGGAAAAGAAAACTGGAATAAAATAGATCTGTAAGCAAAAAAAAAAAAAAATAGAAATGAGAAACTAGGAATGGAAAACAAATTGCCCCTCACTAAATTAGTAGACAGAGATAATGCCCAAGAGAGCAGTGCCAATCAGCATCCACAGGAAATGAATTAAACAGCGGTACATCAAAATATGTACATACTTGTAAAATAATTTATAAAAAATAAAGTTCAACGACACCAAGCTGTGTTGTCCTTTCCATTTGGTAGAATATAACGACGGTTAAACTCCCAAACCAGGTATCTCAGTTTGCAATGTTTTAGACTTTCTGTCATACCTCCTTTTTTAAACAGAAAACCACTTGGCTTTCATTCATTAAAAATTTCGAGATTTTTCTGCTCTAAGCAAAGAGGATCTTGTGGAAACTTTGCGAGATTATGTTAATTTTCTCTCAGACAAAAAAATAAAATGGGAGTGGAAATTTTCAGACTCCGCAAATGAGATGTGTGGTTCAGGAGTTCCACCATCAATAAGTTTTTCCGCTAGAATGTAAATAATAAGCATTTAGGCTTGCCTTCTGTCTAGGCAAGTTCCAAGCCACATGAAACGAATAATGATGCCATAAAAATAAATAAATAATGAAAGAAAAGTAAAAACTGTGAATGCTAATTTTTCACTTACAAGGAATTTAATACAATGAAATAAAAAATGGAAGAGAATTTTGTACCCATGATACCTTTCACTCTCTTTCTATTTCTTTGTATTAGATACCCCTATTATTCACTTGTTCAAATTCAAGAAATTTGACCATTTCCAGTATACTCTGCATGTTCTACATGAACTCTCAAAGAGAGAACGTTTCTTGCAGCGCTTCACTTCTGGCAATGTTTAGTTCTTCACTTCCTTGGGACTGCTGATGACGTGTCTAACAGCGGATACCGGCAGCCACCCAAAGTGTATAATTAGTTTATAGTTATTCAGTGTATAGTTTAACTCTTTTGATTCTCACAGTTTCTTTGGTCCTCTCTCTCTCGATGTGATGTAATTGTATTTCTTCTATAAACCTTTTGATGGCAAAAAAAACAAACAAAAAAAACAACTTCCTTGGGAGAAGCTAACTTATTGGCCTACTATCAACATTTACTCAGTACTATTCAGCAACTCTTACTATACTTTACCTTGCAAGGTTGTGATGGATTTGTGAGTGCACATGAGGTGTGGCATGACCTGCTCGACAGTGCCTTGCCATTTGCAAGACGCCCCTGGACAAGGACAAGTGTAAGGCCTGTACTGACAGAATTCTTCGTGCTCGATTTTTTCCGTGTGGAGAAGCGAGATAGTACAGCCCGATGTGGCATACTTGCACGGGAATAAAACGGATCCAGCAACTTTCTCCATGGCCAGATTCCTGATGTTGCCTGCAAGACATAGAGCATGGAGTTAATAAGGTCAAGCGCAAGGCAGCTTAGTTAAAGCAGAACCTCCTCAAAGTAGAAAATCCTTTTCTACAGAAATTTTTTCCGTCCCATTTTCCACTTCGACGGTGTAAGTCGGCAATCACATTACTCAGTTTGCGACGTCGCAGACTTCCTGTCATACCTTATTTTTTATACGGAAAACTACTCAAAGGCAATTCTTTAAAATTGTCGTGATTTTTCTTCTCTAAGCGAAGAAAATTCTGCAAAAACTTCAAGGGATGATTTCAATTTGTTCTCCTCTAAAAAAATAACAAAGAGGCGAAGATTTGCAGACACCGCAAATGAGATATGTGATTGCCAACTTGCTCCAGACATACGTATTTCTTCGCCCTATGAGATTCTAGTTGCCTTAACGTACCTATAATAGTAATTTTGATGAACTTTTCCAAGAAGGATATAACTTTCTTCGTTCTCTCAGGAACGGTGTATGAATTTTAAAAAAATAAAAAAAGCAGCAGATTTCGATACATAGCTAACAAGATACGCGTTTTCCTAGCCATCAAAATGCGCAACAGATTTTCATAAACGAATCCCCATGTGCATAACCCTATAATCATCTACACCAGGAGTGCAGTATGGTAATGTAAGCATCAAGTATCTCTCTAAGTTTTATAATTTCCGCTGCTGATTGATTATTATGAGGATATTTTATTTTCTCTAAAGAAAACTGGTTAACTTAAATACTTAAAAGTTTGACGGGATATTCTTCTACTTAACAGTGGAGAAAAATAGTGGACATTTTTGAGTAGTTATGCCCCACAGTTTTCTAGACAACAAATTCTGTATCTGTGACAGGAATCAGCATCTTTGCAAACTGATGTTCACGGTTCCCAATTCTGACTGTCAAAATGCTGTTTTTACTGGATTTATCAATTGAAGAGGCAAGTCTGCAAATTTGACTGGCTATAAATAGGCAGTCTTGTTTCAATGTTATTTCATTCCCATTAAAGATGTCACCAAAAATGAAGACAACCACTGAATATTCATTTGCACTGGTAGAGTCTTTTCGCAGTGATTACACAATTTTTATCGGAGTCTCAGGTTATAAATCCATACTTCTTCTGTTCTGCATGCATAAAAAGATGTCGACGTGCCTCAAGATAACAGCTATTAACTGATACGACAAAGTTTACTGAGTATTCAAGAAGCTTACCTAATGGGCCTCGGCAGTTGGGGCAACATGAGAGTTTTGGCCGGCAATTAGAACATACGAGGTGACCACTTTGACATTGAAGAATTGGAGGCAAGACATAATCAAAACATACGGGACACTCAAATAAATTGGAAAGATCTTGACTTAGACCGAGACCAGAGAGATTTGTCGAAGAGCTTCCTCCACTGCTAGAAGAGGAACTCCTCTCATTCCGTTTTTTGCTGACTGGTACCATTCCTGGCGGATTACCGCTCATCCTGTGAAAAAATAAAATAAATGGTTAGGAATCTTGTACTAGTGAGAGAATGAAAACAGAATAGTCACACAGTGAGAATACTAGTCTTGATTCTCCCTGCATGACACCATCCTTCATATCACTCAAAAGGTTTATACTTTAGCTATGTGATATGTTCTTTTCCATCATACTATTACGTGAAAAATAATGACAAAATTCATGTTTTGCAATACTTGCTGTCATTTCATCTAGATTGTCAAACTTTTGAATTCATTGAGATTGGACAATTTAACCTGTGACCAATTGTAGGAGGACAACAGTTGTTTGACTGACAAGATATTGTCCATCCAATATAACAATCCATCAACGCTGCTAAATGAAAGTTTTTATTCAAACCTCTTTCACATCTTTGAGTCCTTCCAGTGAAACCGAATGAGTTTAAAGTAATTTATTAGGAAATTTAAGTGCAGTAATACCTCCCACGCTATGCATGGTTACCTTAGATAACTGTCATGAATTTACTTAATGAGAGAAAAATTTTAGGATTTGAAGTAAGGAGAATTCTTGGTTGAAAAATACACATTCTTGTGAAGGATGCGTTTTCTTGATAACGGAGTACAAATGGAGAAGAATGTTCATTCACACTGCAGTATGTTAAGATAATAAATTCCTTAAGACATAGGTCAATCATGGATCTTCCATAGAATAAGTATGTAGTCAATGTAAAATGATGATTTCTGACAAATTCAACTCTTCTAATAAATAAAGAAGGAAACTAAGGGCAATACTTAAAGATCATTAGGCATGAACTATAAAATCTAGCATTTGGCAATAAACAGGATGCCTCACACGATGTTAACAATACACGAATGCTTAATTGACTGCAAAACTTGATAAGACAACTGGGACTCATTTCATCATTTACTTACTCATCAAATTTCTCAGAATATAACAATGATGGAAAAGTGACTGACTTGCGAAATTATTCAATGGGTGACATTGGGTTGATATGACGTGATCTTGGACCAGGAGAAAATGACCAAATTAAAACGAGGTAAACTCAATGTTGCTACACATCGGAAAATTTCATCGGTGTGCTATATCACTATACCATAATTAGGGGCAAATATTGCACAATTAGAAGTAATTTACATACTTGTAGTGTACTCCAGATTTCAGAAGAATGTGAGGAAATAATGTTTGAGGTTAGAAAGTGAAAGGTGAAGTTGAGCGAGTGACGCAATTAGAGAATTACCTGTGGTTTAATTGAGGCTAAAAGGATAGGCAGGGCGGTTAAAAGTTGATACAAAATTGCAGGGTAAATGATTTAAACTGTGAGAGAGGTCACAGAAATCTATCCTCTTTCACGCATTGTTGATGATGGATCGTCCGAATGATAAACGTTCCGCTTTCCATTACAATCAATATCAACTGCCAGTTGGGCAGAAAGCCTTGCTGTGGCATTAAACACAGATAATAGAGTACTGTAAATGACCAGCAAAAGTAAAAATGAATAATTCATCAGGTATTAGAGGATGGAAGTGCAACTGGTAATTTAGGAAATCAAGAGGACATTTTGTTCCAGCAGTTGAAGATTCAGGGAAACATGGAGTGCAAAGAACTGCTGCTGATAAGTTGTAAAACTCAATGAACATACTTACTTCATGTATTCTGAAGAGTCCAGGAAGAATTGAAAAATCAAATCAACTAATGTCATAGAAGTACGAAAGTCATTATCTGAGAGCTATCTACCTACACTAAATTATCAAAGAGAACGAAACACTATTGATCCACAACTACAATCGCGAGAGCGAATTATTCCTGAATTACTAATTCCATCAAGTGGACAGAGATGAGCAATATTTACAGTATATTCATTGAGATTTAGTAATTTCGTAGTAATGGGCAATGAATGGAAGAACGAAAAGGAGAACAATCACGAATTTTATTTGCACCTTGCAAACGCAACGCAAACAACCCCGGGTGTGGAGAGGGGAACGGAGAGGAGGGGAACCACTCTGCAGATTCGTCCACCATTTTGGAATTGTCATTTCAGCGCGAAATTCAAATTTTCGTATTATGATGTAAGGGGGTCCAGTCCTGTCCTCGGAAGGGCTTCCCGTCACAATTTTGACATTTATCGATCCGAATCAGAAAGAACGGTAATTTTGGAGCTACGTCGAAACCAACTAGTTCAAAATCAGCCCATCCCTGTCCGAAATATTGACGTCTGAAATTGGGGAACAGAGCCCCCCCTCGATAAAATGCTGGGTCACATCGTTACACAAAAAATATTGTACATGCAAGAAAAAGCACTGCAGTTAAGAGGTAAAGTCCGTCACTTTCGAACACTCAAATACTTAAAACTTATGAAAAAAAATTTAAAAATTTAATTTTTTTTTTAAAGAAAAAACGCTCGCGTGCACGTCAATTATTAACACTTCCGGGAGGAGTTTTTAAGGAGAATCCCAGGAGTTTTAATAATTGACGTGCACGTGGGCTGTTTTTACTAAAGAAAATTTTAAAAAAATTTAAGAAAATTTTTTTATGTTTTAACAAATTTTTGTGTGCGGGTTCCTGATACCTAGTTTATTTCATTCATTCAAATATTTCAAAAATCCTAAGCTAGAACTGGTTTAAATTAAATCTGGGAGGGCCTCTTTTTAGGAAATTTTCCGGAAGAGGTCTCTCAACCCCCCCCCCCCCCCCTT